TGATCTGTATCCTGTATCCTTCAATATTAAGGATATTGGGCTGGGTATGGTATGTAATGAAATGTAATGAAAACTGTAATCCCAGTTTTCTTAGTACAGTCTGACGGCTTTGGTATTAGGAAAGTATTGGCATCATAAAATGAATTTGTACTTCTCTGATGATTAACGATATTGACCATCCTTTCATGTGCTTACTGCCCATTTGCGTATGTTCCTTCATAAATTGCCCATTCTTTCGTTGCTTTTTTTTTTTTGAGACGGAGTCTCGCTCTATCACCCAGGCTGGAGTGCAGTGGCGCGATCTCGGCTCACTGCAAACTCCGCCTCCTGGATTCACGCCATTCTCCTGTCTCAGCCTCCTGAGTAGCTGGGACTACAGGCGCCCGCCACTACGCCCGGCTAATTTTTTGTATTTTAGTAGAGACGGGGTTTCATCGTGTTAGCTAGGATTTTTTCTTGATCTCCTGACCTCGTGATCCGCCCGCCTCGGCCTCCCAAAGTGCTGGGATTACAGGCGTGAGCCACCGCGCCCGGCACCCATTCTTTAGTCTAGTTTTTTTTCAAGGCAGAATTTCGCTCTTGTTGCCCAGGCTGGAGTACAGTGGTGCGATCTCAGGTCACTGCAACTTCTGCCTCCTGGGTTCAAGCGATTCTCCTGCCTCAGCCTCCCAAGTAGCTGAGATTGCAGGCGAGCGCCACCAAGCCCAGCTATTTTATTTTTTGTACTTTTAGTAGAGACGGAGTTTCACCATGTCGACCAGGCTGGTCCCAAACTCTTGACCTCAGGTGATCCGCCTGCCTCAGCCTCCCACAGTACTGGGATTACAGGCGTGAGATACCGGGCCTGGCCTTTTGCCCAGTTTTGAACGTTTTTCTGAATTACTGGGTTGTAAGAGTCTTTAATATATTCTGTATGTAAGTCCCTCTTCATCAGATATTTGTTGTATAAATATTTCCCCCTACTCCATAACTTTCATTTTCTTAATATGAAGTTTCAAACGTAAGTTTTAAGTGATAAAACCCAACTTAATTTTTTCTTCTAAGATTTATGTTTTTCATGTCCTCTTTAATGAAGATTTTCTTCTAGGCACTTTATGGTTTTCATGCTTATATTACTCATTTTTCCCCTATACAAAATTTCAGTTGTTACAGAACTGTGTTGAAAACTCTATCTTTTCCCTTTATCTTTGCATCTTTGTTGAAAACCACTTGAAAATATATGGGTGAGTCCAATTCTGTTTACCTGTATGTGTATCCTAGATCCAGTACCATTCTATCTTGATCACTATAGCTTTAGTCTTGAAAAAAGTCTGTAACCCCAGCACTTTGGGAGGCTGAGGCGGGTGGAACACCTAAGGTCAGGAGTTCAAGATCAGCCTGGTCAACACGGTGAAACCCCATCTTTACTAAAGTTACAAAAAAATTAGCCAGGCGTGGTGGCACACACCGTAATCCCAGCTACTTGGGAGGCTGAGGGAGAAGAATCACTTGAACCCAGGAGGCAGAGGTTGCAGTGAGCCGAGATCATGCCACTGCACTCCAGCCTGGGTGACAGAGGGAGACTCCATCTCAAATAAGAAAAAAGAAATCTTAAAAAATAGTTTTGACTTTGTAGGTCCTTCAGGTTTATAACTCATGAATACAGTGTATCTATTTATTTTAGGACTTCTTTACTTTCTTCTAGCATTAATACATGTTTTGTAGCTTTAGTACAGGTCTAATAACTTTGTCCCTATATTTCATGATTTTGATGCTGTTTTCATAATTTCAACTTTTTGAAAATATTGAGCTTGTATCCTGTGACCTTGCTAAACATACTTGCTAGTTTTAAAAACATTTTCAGACACTTTTATGGTTTTCCATATAGACAATCATGTCACAGCAAACAGTCTCATGCTTTCTTTCACATTCTGTATCCCTTTTCTTGAGACAGGGTCTCACTCTGTCACCCAGGCTGGAGTGCAGTGGTGCCATCACAGCTCCCTGCAGCCTTGACCTCCTGGGCCTCCAGTGATCCTCCTGTTCAGCCTCCTGAGTAGGTGGTACTACAGGCACATGCCACCATGCCTGGCTAATTTTTATTTAAGTTTTGGTAGAAATGAGGTCTCACTATGTTGTCCAGGCTAGTCTTGAACTCCTAAACTCAAGCAATCTTCCCACCTTGGCCTCCCAGAATGCCAGAATTATAGGCATGAGCTACCACACCCAGTCTCTTTTTTATTGGCTTATTGTACTGGCTAGAACATCCACTACAAGGTTGACTGGAAGTGGTGACTAGACATCTTTACCTTGTTTCCAGTCTTAGGAGAAAAGTGCTTTTTACTTCACCATTAAGTACGATGTCAGATGTAGGTTCTCCCATAGATGCTTGCTCTTAGATTGTGGAAGCTCAATTTAATTCCTAATCAACTGAGCGGTTTTATCATGAATGCGTGTTAAATTTTTTCAAATGTTTTCCTACATTTAAAAAATTATGTGGTTTTTAATATTAATATGAAACATATTGCTTTTTGAATGTTAAAGCTTGCATTTCTAGGATAAACCCTACTTGGCCATGTGTTTCCTTTTATAGATTGCTATGTTCAACTTGGTATTTTAAAAAGGATTTTTATGTCTATATTAAGAGATGTTGATCTATGAATTTTCCTATGATGTCCTTTCTGACTTTGGTATCTGGGTAATGTTGGTCTCATGACTTCTTTGGGGGAAGGTTATCAGCTACAAATTCAATTTAACAGGACTATTCAAGTTCTCTCTCTCGAGTGGGCTTTGGTTCTATATTCCTTACAATTTTCAATTCCATTTAAGTTGCTGAATTTATTGGCATTAAGTTACTAATAAAATTCCTCTGTATTACCTTCTTGGTGTATAGGAACTATAGTGATATTTCCTCTGTCATTCCTGACACTAGGAATTCTTTCAATCCTTTCAAAGAGCCAGGTTTTGGTTCCATTAAATTTTCTCTATTGTTTATCCATTTGTAATTTTGTGACTTTTAGCTCTTTATCATCTCCTATTCTACTTGCTTTGGATTATTTGTTCTTTTTCTCATTTCATAAGGTAGAAGTTTAGACTATTGAATTGAAATCTTTTTATCTAATGTAAGTATTTAATACTCTGATTTCACCTCTAAGCACTGCTTTAGCTACATTTCACAAATTTGTCACTCATTCAGTTCAAAATATTTTCAAATTTTTCTTTCTCTTTATTGCTCATTTACGAGTATGATGTTTAATTTCCAAATATTAAGAGATTTTTTGGACATCTTTGTTATTGGTCTCTTACTTAATTCTGTCCTGATGAGAGAATATACCTTGTATGGTTTTCATTCTTTAAAAAATTTTAAGACTGTTTTGTTATACTCCATAGTAGGCACACTTAAAAATAATGTATACAGGTTGTGCAGTGGCTCACATCTGTAATCCCAGTGCTTTGGGAGGTCCTGGAGGACTGCTTGAGCCTGGGAGTTCAAAACCAGCCTGGGCAACAGAGCTAGACCCCATCCCTACAAAAATAAAAAATAGCTGGGTGTGGTGGCACATGCCTATAGTCCTAGCTACTCTGGAGGCTGAGACAGGAGGATTGATTGAGCCCAGGAGTTCACGGTTGCAGTTAACCGATTGCACCACTGCACTCCAGCCTGGATGAGTGACACTGTCACTAAAAAATAAAAAAATATATTAATATATCATGCTAATGAGTGAAGTGTTCTACAAATGTCAATTAGTCAAGTTAGTTGGTAGTGCTGTTCAAGGCTTGTATCTCCTAAGTGACTTGTGCTATCAATTACTTGATTAAATATCTAACTATAATTGAAATTGTGCCTTTTTCAATTTTGCCAGTTTTTATTTCATGAATTTTGAAGCTGTTTTATGTGTACTTAAGCTAGAAAGTAGCTTTGCTGTAGGATTCCCGAATTTCCACAATGTAGAGGTCTTTCCCTTGGGGCCATTCAACTTCTGCAGAGAAGAAACTTCCCATCTCCTGCTGGACGTTAAACCTCTGGTCAGCCATGCACAGGAGTTGGGGAGCAGTATGTGTGTTTATGTAATGAGGAGGAATGTTCCATATACAAATGGCCATTAGTTTCATTGCTTTCTCTTCACATCTCACTCCCGTCCTCCAAGGTAGTAAGCATTTCTGAGCCTGGAGCCAAACTGGTTCCTTCTTTTCCTTATCCCCATATGTAAGCAGCGTAACTGTGCCTGCTTCTGCTCTACTGGCTATCTTTCCATCTTTCAAATTTTCATTTGCTGATATTCTTTCTCCTATTCTCCTTATTGCTGTAGTTTGATAAATTAAAATTTTCCTTGCATCTTAATGTTGTCCAATGTGATGAGACATGTTTAACAAAAGCGCATTCTTGAACACTTTCTCTGCTAGCCATTTTTAGCTTATCGAGCCCCAACATGATTTCTGCAGCCTCTAAGCTGCCCCCTGCTCCTTATGTATTCATTTTTCCAGCTCTGCCTCTGGAACCTATTTGTTGTTATCACCTGCTCTTAGGTAGCCTCCTGAGTAGCTGCGTCTGAAGCTGTGTGCCAGCACACCAGCAAATTTTGGCACTTTTTTATAGAGACAAGGTTTTGCCATGTTGCCCAGGCTGGTCATGAACTCCTAGGCTCAAGTGATGCACCCTCTTCAGCCTCCCAAAGTGCCAGGCATGTTACTTTGGACCCTCCCTCACATTCCTCTGGAAGTATCCCAATAAACTAGCTGTACTCACTAAAAAGGACTACTTATGTTCCTGAATAGTTGCCTGGGAGGGGCTGTTCAACTTCCTATCAAAATGGTATATGGGAACGTACTACATGAGTAACTCTCTTCCAGCTTTTTGTTGTGTGGCTACGAACTATTGTACCTGTCTGCAATAAACACAAGGATTTCCATGTCCCTTGTATTTCCAACTGCCCTCTTGGCCTAAAATGGACACAGTGTACAATCATAGTTTAGAGGTGGCTAATCAGGACTGGAAAGAAATATGAAAAACACAAAGCACGTAATTTGAAGAGAAACCAGAGTTTCAATTTCTCAGAGAATGTGAACAAAGGAAAACATGCCCTGCTTGAGAATAAATATAAAGTTCTTGCCATTGAAATGCTGGGTAGAATATGTAGTTGAACTGTAAAGTACAGACACTTTTACTCTACCCATCTGAAAATAAGTACAATCCATTCATTGTACAGCATAAAAAAGTGCTTGATACTTAAATACTTTGAATGAATGAATTTTTTTCAGTGAGGAAACACATCTAAATAACCCTTACATCTCTCTCCTTTGTAGAATATAAAGGTAAGAGTGATACTAAATATTTAACAGTTTTTACAGTATGAGCGCTGTGAAGACCTGAACGGGCAAATGTCACTTAGCGAGGATCTTTCTTATGAACCCGCTGGTGGATGTGAAGGTTGGAGCTCTGGCTGAAGCCCTTCCCACACTTGCTGCACTCATAGGGCTTCTCTCCAGTATGTACTCTCTGGTGGATGAGGAGTTTGGAACTCTGGCTAAATCCCTTCCCACACTTGCCACAATGATAGGGCTTCTCCCCAGTGTGGACTCTGAGATGGATGCGAAGATCCGAGCTCTGGCTGAAACCCTTCCCACACTCATAGCATTGGTAAGGCTTCTCTCCCGTGTGGATGCACCGGTGAATGTGCAGGTTCGAGCTCTGACTGAAGCCCTTCCCACACTCGCCACACTTGTAGGGCCTCTCTCCTGTGTGTACTCGCTGGTGGATGTGCAGGTTTGAGCGCTGACTGAAGCTCATACCGCACTCCCCACACTCATAGGGCTTTTCTCCAGTGTGGACTCGCTGGTGGATATGTAGTTTGGAGCTCTGACTAAAGCCCTTCCCACACTTGTCACATTTATAAGGTTTCTCGCCTGTATGGACAGCATGATGGATGAGCAGACTTGAGCTCCTGGTGAAGCCCTTCCCACACTTGTCACACTTATAAGGCTTCTCATCTGTGTGGACTGCCTGATGGATAAGCAGACTCGAGCTCCTTGTGAAGCCCTTCCCACACTGTTCACATTTGTAGGGTTTTTCTTCTGTGTGGTCTCTCTGATGAAGTAGTAGTTCTGAGCTTTGACTGAAGTTCTTACCACACTGACCACATTCATATTGTTTCTCTGCAGTGTGGATTTTCTCATATGGATGACCATCTGGGCTGGTGTTAAGTATTTTCCCACAGTTATTATGGTCACAGGGTTTCTCCTCTGTATGAGCTCTCTGCTGACTACAACTGATCACCTGTGATTTCCATCCATAAATGTCTCTGCTGTTACAGTTAATGGGATCCAAAGATTCTTTTAACTGGCCATTCTGGCAAGTTGCCTCACCATTTAACAATGGCGAGGCCAGTTCTTTTCCATCAGACACCATTTTAACTTGAAGGTTCTCTGAAAAACTTTCTCCCTTTATCACTTTTCTCTCAGTGCTTTCTTCCGTTACAAAGAGATGTTTGCTTTCCTGATGATTCTGAGGCTCCTTCTTACAGAACTTCACTGAAGAGTATTGTGTGTCTATTTGGCTTGGGACTTTCAAAGGCAAATATGTTTCACTTTCACTGTTTTTGAAATAATCACTTTGAAGAGTCATCACACTGTCCCTGTTTCTGGAAATACGAGAAGATGCTTCTCCCCACTGTTGACAAAGGGAAAGGTCTAGTTCAGGCTCCCCATCCACTTCCCCTTGATGATTCACGATACAATCCTGACTTCCGGTAATTGTACTGGCCATGCCTTCCAAAATTAGCCAGGAGGAAAGCTCATGTAACAGATCCTGAAGTGCTTTCTGCTGAAGATTCTCCACAGAATTTTCATTCAAGTCTCCTAGGGAACAGAGAGAATTCAGTGGTAAGAACAAAGGGTAGACTTCAAGATTTCTGAGTGAGAGTGCCTAAGGCCTGAAGGCTTAGTAACTACGAAAAAGTTCAGCTTGTCCTTATAGTCATGTCCTTTGGGTTAATGTCGGGTGCATTTGTATCTGGGTACAAGACAGAAATTTTCTCTTGGCTTTTAAGCATAGCCAAGGAAAGTCTTCCCTAACTAATCCTATAGAAGACTATAAGTCCTATATCCTTGCTAACAGTAACATTTCATCTCATCTCACTTCATTTTTTTTTTTTTTTTTTTTGAGACAGAGTCTTGCTCCACTGCCCAGGCTAGAGTGCAACGGTGTGATCTGGTCTCACTGCAACCTCCACCTCCTAGGTTCAAGCAATTTTCCCACCTCAGTCTCCCAAGTAACTGGGATTATAGGCCCACGCCACCATGCCCAGCTAAGTTTTGTATTTTTAGTAGAGATGCGGTTTTACCATGTTGACCAGGCTGGTCTCAAACTCCTGGCCTCAAGTGATACATCCGCGTCAGCCTCCCAAAGTGCTGGGATTACAGGCATGAGTCACTACACCCGGCCTACTTTCCTTTAAGTAAATTTGCATTTCATTGGTATTCTGCTTTCATAGGTATGGGGGACACAAGGAAGAAAATATAAATCCTTTTGCTTAACAAGCTAAAGCTTCCTGGGAAGACAAATATACCAAATAATGATAATACTAAGTGAGTGGTGTAGATGAATGTATAGTACAATACAGTGCAAGAGATGTATGCATAACCAGCTAGGAAAGTACAGAAGAGGAACACTCAACTCAGACCCCGGTGTTTAGGAAGATTTCTGGGAGAAAATGACAAGAAATAAAGAAAAAAAAAAAAGAAGTGAAACGTGGAGAGAAAATATGACATGTTAAAGAAAACTACAAGTGGCTTCTTACGAAGGAGATAAAAACGGTAAGAGTGGTGAAGAATGTGCCACGGAGGGGAAGTAAGGAGCCAGAGCAAAGGGCTTAGTGTCTCATAATAAGGACCTTAGGGCTAAACCCTGCACGGATTGAAAGCTATTAAAGGATTTAAATTCAGAGTGAAATAATTGACTTTGTGACCTATAAACACCACTGGAAAGTAAGACTTTAGGTAGCAAGATGGCTGCCATAGCAAATCATAAGAAAAACAGTAAGGATGATAGTTGTGGAGAGAATGGGAGAAATTCATTCTAGATCATGTGATGATAAATTAAACCTCGAAGAGAAAGGAGGCCCCAAGCCTGTTCCTTGGGATTGCTGCCTGAGTGAATGGGTACCGTGGTACTCTATAATCAGAGAGGAAATGCAAGAGGAAGAGGCTGAAGTAGGGAAGGGTGCAGAAACTCAAATCTGCCTTGCATAATCTGTGGTGTTAGTGGAACATTCTTGCAGTACTGGTCAGTAAGCAGTGAGATATATATAGGTCTGGAAGTCCTGTGAGAGAACTGTGCTAGGAATACAGAGTTTAGACTTACTGGTATATTAAAAAACCAAAACCAAAACAAAACCCTCCCCCGGACTTACTACAACAGTTAGAGTGAATAGCCTAGTATTACACTGAAATGACAAGAAATCCATAATAGTCTTGGGAAAACAGAAAGGTCGACATCATCAGAATAAAAACATCGAGGAACTCGTAAATGATAAAGAGCAGATGGATTAGGAGTGATGGAGAAACTAGGGGAAAAATGTACAGCTCAAATTATATATAACAGAAGGCTTCCTCATGGGTAAAACATCTTAAGAAATCATAGAAATTCAATTACCAAACTCAGAATCAATTATTACAAAGTAAGGGAGCACTGACCCCATTTTCCTGGAGTCTATGTCTCAGAAAATAATAAACAGTGATAAAGACATTTCTTAATTCAACTTAGGCATTCCTAACGTGCTGTGCTAGTTTTTGCTGTTAGCAGCACTCTCCCAGCCCACCCTCTTCCTCTTAGAAATAGAAATATTGGATGGCTAGCAGCAGTGGCCTCATATAAAGCCTCAAGAATAAAATAAATGATCTGCCAAAGAAAGACTGCTAATAATGTTAACTGAACTGAACAGAGAAGCAGAGGTTGAGGTAATGCTGAACCTACACAATGACCGATGGATTGAGGAACAAAAAAGAAGCAACTGACAACATAAGTGCCCAGGATAAAACTTCAAGCTAATCTTTTTAATGGGAGTTCTGACAAGGAAGATAGCCCAGGGCTGGAAATGAAGAAGCAGAGCATGCCCCCAATAACTCAGTGGCAAAAGAGGTGGCCTTAAAAAATGGCCTACACCACTGTGCAGGGGAGTACAGGGAAGAGGAGGCCCACCTGAGGCTCAGCCCTAGCCCTTAGACCATCCGTGGGGGGAGTTTACTACCTGGGTAGTCCCCTTGCCCACACATCCAGCTACAAAACAATTCAAATTTTTTATTTTTCCCAAAATAAAACCTCACTTAGCTCTGCCAACTGTCAAAAAAAAAAAGAAAAAAAAAAAGGCCTACAACATCTACCATCTGGATTCTTATTACCTCTCTCCCTAGCCCAATCAGCAGAAGTGTCCCCTAAAGTAGAACACACATACATGCCAAAGTGGGTCAAGCATGGGTTGAGGACACACTCCAATATCATACTGAGAACACAAGAATTTTGAAAAAATATATAAGGAGACAAACAGAATTTAAAAGGTACATAATTAAAATCCCAGAAAAACTGGAGTGGATATCATATTTAAACACAATCTAATAATAAAATATAAACATATTGCTATGAAAATAATAATTCTAAATAAAATGACTGAAGATGATGATAGGTTATGTAACTTGTTTCCTAGATATGTGTCAGGCTGTTTTAGTCAAAGGCCTGCAATTTAGATGAGTTAAATAGTAAAATGAACATATGGCTAAGATGGAAGATTGAGGAATTCTCCAAGAATGCATATGAAAAGACAGACAGATAGAAAGATAAAAGTAAAAGCCCATCTCCAAGGAGTTGCATGAGGACAGTGAAGATCGAACACATGGAGAGAAAATGATCAAAGAAATAACAACAAAAAAATGTTTCCTAGAATGCAAGATTCAGGGCCCAATAAATGCTAAAAAATGGTATGTAAAAACACCCCGAACTAAACATACCCTTTTAAAACCTCAGGACTTCAAGGAAAAAACAAACAAACAACAACAACAACAACAAAAAAAACAAAATGCTAAAAGCTTCCAAACAGAAAAGCCAGGTTATGTGCAAATAAGTGAGAATTATATTGACACTGAACAACTAATTGGCAATATTGCAAATCTTCAATATCTTCAAATTTTGGGTTAAAAGTCATTGTGAAATTATAATTTTTAACCAGCCAATTAACCATTTCAAAGAGAGGAAAAAATAGACACTCTTTCAAACATGAAAAGATTCAATTACTAAAACAATCACTCAGGAATATACTATAGGAAAATTTTTTAAAATTTAAGAAAAAGGATACATGCTACAAGAAATAACAGTAAGCCAAGAAGTCAATAAAATACATAATTAGGCCAAGCGTGGTGGTTCATGTCTGTAATCCCAGCATTTTGGGAGGCTGAGGCGAGGTGATTGCTTGAGCTCAGGAGTTCAAGACCAGTGTGTGCAGCATGGCAAAACCCTCTCTCTACAAAATACAAAACAAAACAAAAACCCTCAAACCCCAAAACCATAGTTGAAAAATAAAAGAAAAAATAAACAAAACTCTACAATAACAGTATGGAGTCAAAACCCTCCAAATAAAATATATTTTTAAAAGGCAAGTATTAGCTTCAGAGGAAAAATAAAAAAATAAAAAAGGAACTATAATCATATTGTACTACTTGACTCTATAGTGAATAACTAATTACAAAGTCAAAGCAATGTAAGCATTCATCACTGACATGACTCTAACAAATTCTTGGGAGGCTAGGCATTTGAGGAGGTAATATGAAAAAGCTACATCCTCATCTATAATATGGGGAAATCAATAGAAATTACAAAATATTGATAAATGGAGAAATAACAGTATATCACAATACACTAAATTTAAATGATACTGAGGTACCATTTTCCACCTGTTAAACTAGCACAAACCCGAAGTCTGAAGACACACATTACTTGTGAGTGTAAACTGATATGAAGGACATTTTGACAATTATCAATCAATGTCATAAATATATGCACTCAACATTCCAACTTAGAGCTTTACTCTTCAGATTTCCAGGCATAATTTGTGAAATGACATTTACATGAGACTACTCACTTTTTAAGGGCCAATGACCAGAACCTGGATAGACAAGAGCTACAGACATGAAAGAAACTTTTCATTGTGCACCTTTTATATTTATTTTGTAATCATGTGAATGCATTTATTGTTTATTTAGAAGAGTAACTATGTCTAAACATATCGTCTGGAGTAGGAAGACAAACCCAATATGGAACAGCTAGAAAGATGAAAACTGAGTGCCTTTGGAAGCCACATTGTGGCTGATGGAGCAGCAGAGTCAGGAAAGAGGAACGTTTTCACTATGAGCTGCCCATACAACTTGTTTTACCCAGGTGAATGTATCACTTTGTCTGCACATTTCAAAAGTAATGGCAAAAATGAAAAAGAAAAATGACAAAAGAAGAACAGGGCAGTCTGTAGCAGTTAAATCATGAAATGGGGTGAAATGATTAAATGGATTTGAAAGGATATTGCTTCAACAGCCATATCATACGGTACTTGGAAGTAGGCTAGTGGTTATAGAAATTGTAGGTGTGTGAAAATGAATGGGGGAGGAATTTTATGAAAGGTGCATTTTAATGAAAGTGTGATGTTAGCTTTTAAAAAAATGTTTAAAATAATATGAAGAATGAGGCCAGGCACGGTGGCTCATGCCTGTAATCCCAGCACTTTGGGAGGCTGAGGTGGGTGGATTACCTGAGGTCAGGAGTTTGAGATCAGCCTGGTCAATATGGTGAAACCGTCTCTTGTAAATATACAAAAAATAGCAGGACGTGATAGCGGGCACCTGTAGTCCCAGCTACTCAGGATGCTGAGTCAGGAGAATCGCTTGAACCTGGGAGGTGGAGCTTACAGTGAGCCGAGATTGTGCCACTGCACTCTAGCCTGGGTGACAGAGTGAGACTTCGTCTAAAAGAAGAAGAAGAAAAAAAATACTATGGAGAATGAGTGTACAACATTAGGAGAAAATACTGACATGAGAAAAGGGGTCCTTTTATAGGGAGTTAACATGGCAGAAAAAAACTCTAACACATACTGCATAAAACAGCAAATTAAAAATACGCAGTGTAATCTCATAAAATTTTAATGCATATACTTGTACATACATAAATATAGAGTTCATAGAAAGTGATTTGATTTCACATTATACTGTGTTGTTTGAGTTTTTGAGACTTTTATGTCTTACTTGCAAAAAAGAACAATGTTCAACAAGTTTGTTCCATTTTATGTCAATAAAAATGAAAACCTAGAGCAGAGCTTGAAATTGGAAGCCCATCTCCTATTTCACTTTTGTCTACGTGTAAATCACTCTCCACAGAGCAGTCACAGTGATACTGGGTCAATCAGAGCATACCATTCCCTGATCCAATGGCTGCCCACTCAAAATAAATCTACTTTTTTTTTTTTTTTGAGATGGGGTCACACAGTGTCTCCTAGGCTGGAATGCACTGGTGCTATCTCAGCTCACTGCAACCCCCACCTCCTGGGCTCAAGCGATTCTCCCACCTCAGCCTCCCAAGTAGCTGGGATTACAGGCATGTGCCACCACGCCTGGCTAATTTTTGTCATAAATCCACTTTTACCAGTGCCTTCAACGCCATAACTGAGCCAGGCCGTGTCCACCACCTCTTCTCAGTCCTTCTTAGATGCACCCTGTGGTCTACCACACTCCTCCTTCCAGGTCTTTGGGTGTCCTCTTGCGTGGTTCTCTTTGCCTGGATGTTCTTCCCCTCCCTAGTCACCTGTTTAAACTATTGATCCCTTAGCTCCCAGTTTAATGTCACTTCAGAGGCTCTCCCTAAGACACATACACAACCCGCATTCCATCACATGCCTTCGTTCTCTCAGAGCACTGTTCCATTCTTCATAGGACTTACCAACTGTATAGTAATACTTCAAAGAATGACATCATAAATGATGTTTAAAGGAGACAAGTGTACTTGCAACATCTAACTTGAGCTTGAAAAATGATGGCAACAATCTGACTAATTTTTACCCTATTTTAAGCATTAAACAGACTCATTTTAGGGCAACATCTGTGGGATCTAGGAGTGTTAATAAACTTAAAATAAGTTAAAGGTAAAAAAGAATTGGTGGAAGATTTTAGATACTGAGGACGAGAAGAGAGAAACTGTTTTTTTTTTTTTTTGAGACAGGGTCCCACTCTGTTGCCCAGGCTGCAGCCTGGAGATCTTTGCTTGCTGCAGCCTGGAGATTTTTGCTCACTGAAGCCTCAACCTCCCTGGCTTAGGTGATCCTCCCACCTTGGCCTCCCAAGTAGCTGGGACTACAGGCACATGCCACCAGGCCCGGCTAACTTTTTATATTTTTTGTAGAGGGGGTTTTGTCATGTTACCCAGGCTGGTCTTCAGCTCCTGGGTTCAAGTGATCCTCCTGCCTCTGCCTCCCAAAGTGCTGGGATTACAGGCATGAGCCACCATGCCTGGCCCAAGAGAAACTGAATACAGTCATGGCCCATTTCTAAACTAGGAGGCTGGAACAACTTTAATACTGACAAAAGTGGGAATACAAGAAGGGAACTTAAAAAGGAAAATAATTTTAGGCTTATCAAAATAGAAAGGAGAGTTGAACAGCATTAAATATGTAACAGTTCCTCCTATAAGTGGACATATCATGCATTCTCAGGGACAATAATGTCTCCAAGGGGTGAGAATTGGTTCATAGGGGGCAAAACAAATCTTTTTATTTTTTTTTGAGATGGAGTCTCACTCCGTCACCCAGGCTGGAGGGCAGTGGCACGATCTTGGCTCACTGCAACCTCCACCTCCCGGGTTTAAGCAATTCTCCTGCCTCAGCCTCCTGAGTAGCTGGGATTACAGGCACCCACCACCACGCCTGGCTAATTTTTATAATTTTAGTAGAGACGGGGTTTTGCCATGTTGGCCAGGCTGGTCTTGAACTCCTGACCTCAGGTGATCTGCCCGCCTTGGCCTCCCAAAGTGCTGGGATTATAGGCATAAGCCACCACGGCTGGCCAAACAAATCTTACATATTATGCTGGTTTGGGACTCACAAAACAATCCTACCTGACAAAACCTTATTCCTTCATACTTAATTTCTCTAAAGGAGAAATCTGTCTCCTTTTGGCAGGGAGAGAGTAATGATAAATAAAAAGGCCGAGAAACACTGATGATGTAGTGACTTAAAACCAAAGAGCCCTTTGAGATTTCAAGTTAGAAAAAAGATAGAAGCCAGGTGATCAAGACCAGCCTGGCTAACATGGTGAAACCCCATCTCTACTAAAAATAGAAAAAATTAGCCAGGCATGGTGGTGGGCGCCTGTAGTCCCAGCTACTCAGGAGTCTGAGGCAGGAGAATTGCTTGAACCCGGGAGGCGGAGGTTGCAGTGAGCCAAGATCACGCCACTGCACTCCAGCCTGGGGGACAGAAAGAGACTCCATCTCAAAAAAAAAAGAAAAAAGAAAGAAGCCAGAGAATCTGCAGAGAAAAGGACTACGAGAGAAGATGGAGGAAATAGAAAAACTATGATTTCATGCATGACAAAGAATTTCAAGAGAAGATCAACACTATAGAAACCATCAGTAAAATTGATAATGGTAAATATGCTGAAAGAAACATTAAAAAAGGAACAAACTCTGAAAGAGACAAAAGTTCAGTAGTGGGCAATTTTGGTACAAGAACAGAGCACAGGCACTGGGTTTATATAAAGAATGTGGAAAGGCCTGGTTCACTACCTGGAGGTAACAACTTTGCCCTGTAGCATTCTCTTTACTCCCCAGGATTAGCTGAAAATAGAAACTGAAAGGCCACAGTTACTGAGGGAAGAGAACCAGGGCCCCACTGTGGACTGAGGGAGGAAAAAACCCTGAAAGCTAACATGATGGCACATTTTTTTTTTAAAGACAGGGTCTAACGGTCACCAGGGCAGGAGTGCAGTAGTGTCATCTTGGCTCACTACAACTCTGCCTTCCCAGCTCAAGGGGTCCTCCCACCTCAGCCTCCTGAGTAGCTGGGATTACAGGTAACTGCCATCACATCCGGCTAATTTTTGCATGTTTTGCAGACACAGGGTTTCGCTGTGTTGCCCAGGCTGGTCTCAAACTCATGAGCTCAAGCCATCTGCCCGCCTCAGCCTCCCAAGGTGCTGGGATTACAGGCATGAGCCACTGTGCCCAGTCACTTTTCGGTGTTTTTTGTAGAATGGCTGCTTTTGGCTATAAAATGGCAATTTCACATGGTTCAACCTAATAGGTATACATTCATCTCCCCATCTAATTAAAATTCTTTACCAATCTATTTTTTAATGGCTACATACTTTTCTGTGATCCATGATAATTTGGCTGACCAATCCCCTGTGATACATTTAGGGGGTAAATATTTTTTTCACTATTTTAAATAATTCTGTAATGAGTATTTTGTTCACAATTTTTGGTTAAAATTACCATTGCCTTAGAATAGATATCTAAAAAATGAATTACTGCATTTGGAAATGTTTAAGGCTCCTTGATTCAGGCAGTCAAAAAGTGTTTTGGCTGGCTGGGTGTGGTGGCTCATGCCTGTAAGCCCAGCCACTCCGGAGGCTGAGGCAGGAGAATCACTTGAACTTGGGAGGTGGAGGTTGCAGTGAGCCGAGATCATGCCACTGCACTCCAGCCTCCAGCCTGGGCGAAAGAGGTTGACTCCTGCTCAAAAAAACTAAAAAAGTGTTTTATTTATTTGTAGGGTATGAGAGTGTCTCACCACGAGTTTTGATTAATTTTGGGAGGGGAGAGGGATGAATTCCTGAATGTGTAAGAAAAGAAATAATGGAAACGATATTGCAAGGCAGGGGAGGACATTCAATGAAAAATAAAGTCCAAGCAAAGATGGCACAAGACCAATGTGGGGGAAATGTGGGGAAAGGCAAGAGTACAGAGAAGCAAGTGACCATTACTGGGAAAGACCACAACCTCCTGCAGAGGTAGAAGGGAAGTAAAGTGAATAGATCAGGTAAAACAGTGGCACATAGGAAACATCCCAGAAGTCCCTGCTTTCGACACAGACTGCAAGATATCAGATAACTCCTGGAACACTGAAAAAGGGACTCCTCTGTTGTGGATTAGCCTGGCTTATAACTTGCCATGATGCCTGGTGCTCTTTGGGGTTCACTTGCTATTATATAATGATCTTTATCTTGTTCCATCTGAGAGATCACATTTCAGAAACTCACAGGGATTGGGTGATTGTGCAGAAAGCAAAATCAGTCCCACCTCTGGCTTATAAAGGATGGAACAGGTATGATTTTTGAGACAACCCAGTAAAACTACTATTCTCCAATTCTTACCAAGTTCTTTAGCTGCTTAGAATAGTCAGAAAACATCCTTTTGTGTCAAAAAGGAAGTGGGAAACAAAGATGCCAATGGGCAGGTGTCCAAGTTCACATGTCCTTACCCACCAAGACCAAGTTCCTGTAGTTCCCAGCATTACAGCTCTGCACAGCTTCCTGGGAGCAGAGTCCAGGCGGCCTCACTTCTCCTCCGTGAAGGCCACAGAGGCATTCTTGAATGTAACTGGTTCCTAAAACATTAAGCACATTCCTCCTCAACAAACAACCATCTGCACAAATGCCCTGGAACGGGGGTGAAGTCAGTAGCACTGGAAAAGGTAAGAAAGGTATAGAAGAAGTTTGCAGCTCAGGGGATCTAAGTGAGCTAAGTCAAGTTTTGTTGGAAAATCTTTCCTTTCTCACTTAATTGGCTACTTCCATCCAAATCATTTCCTTCCTGCCCACAACATGTCTACGCTCAAGTCCTCAGCTACTGAATCTTTCCGTGTCACTGTCTTCTTGTGTCATTGCTGAATTGTCATCTTCACCCCATTCCCACCATTATCCTGACAACCTTAACTCTCGCAGGAACAATTGACCCAACACTCTTACCTCACATTTCTTAATCTCCACAGTGCCAGTGATCTCAGCCACATTTCATCAAACTGTAATAACCATAATTGGGACTAGTCCACTACCTGGACTCCTCTACTCTTAAAATATTAATCTCTCTAATTTTAAAAACTTTAAAAATCACTTCCTATGCTTTCTGTTCTTCCGCTTATAAACTAAGTAGTTGAACATTACTGGGAAAATAAAATAGCACATATACACACAGCCATAAAACACTCTCCTGAGGGATCCCTTGACTTAAAATACCATTTACTGCCAAATATTTATTTCCAGCCCTTACCTCTTACCTCACCTCCAGACTCCTTTTAACATCTACACTGGGACGTCTAAAGGTGCTTAAAACTTAATAAGCCCTGGCTGGGCACAGTGGCTCATGCCTGTAATCCCAGCATTTGGGGAGGCTGAGGTGGGCGGATCACTTGAGGTCAGGAGTTTGAGACCAGCCTGGCCAACATGGTGAAACCTTGTCTCTACTGAAAATACAAAAATTAGCCAGGCGTGGTGGTGCATGCCTGTAGTCCCAGCTACTTAGGAGGCTGAGGTAGAAGGATCTCTTGAACCCGGGAAGCGGAGGTTGCAGTGAGTCAAACAAACAAACAAAAAACAAACCAAAAAACTGAACAGGCCCTAACAAAACTCCTGCTCCAGCAATATCCATCAGCATCTGCTCTTCCCCAGTCGTCCCCATTTTAGTAAACAGCCACACGAACCACTCAATTGCTCAAACCAAATCCAAGAAGTCATTTCATTCTCATCCTCACATCTCACCCATCACCTAGCTCCTTTACCTCTAAAGCATACCGGCATCCACTCAGCTCCCCTGCCCTGCACTGTCACCTCTCTAGGCCTAGGCAGCACTTGCTCTCACCCACATCAACCTCCTTCTTGGTCTGACTCTACTCTTGCACCCCCAAACATGAGTTTTCCACATGGCAGCCAAGGTGATCTTTTAAAACAAAAACAAGGCCAAGCGTGAAACCCTCCAAAGGCTTTTCAGTGGCCATGAAGTAAAATTCAGACTCTTCATCCTGGCCCGTGAGGCTCTCCTGTCACCTCCCCAACCTAGGCCTCTCTCATGATCATATTCAGCACCAGTGACCCAGCAGGCCCTTGAACCGCATCACTCATTGTAGCTTTTGTGCTAGCTGCCCTCTCCATTCCTCATCATTCAGCTCTCAGTCCAACCATTGCCTCTTCAGAAAGCATGTCACTGACCATCTAATCCACTGGCGCACCCTATATCTATCATTTTCCTAGTTTAATTAAATTAATTTCTTCTTATGACTTATGCCTTACCTTATTTTCTTATTTATTCACTTGCTTTCTTATTTACTGTCTCTCCCTGCTGAGATTTAAGTTCCCCAAGAACAGAGAGGCTGCCTCATTTGTTCATGACTGCATCCCCAAGACCTCAAGCAGGGCCTGGCACATAAAGGGAGTCCAAATATTTTTTCAGTCAATGTCAGCAAATCTGGTTCCCTTCAGGGCTCTGTCTGATGAAGCAATGCTTCTTAAACTACCTGTGGTGAAGTTTTTTGTTTTTGTTTTTCAAGCTCTCAATTTCAGTACTTGTATCTGCACCGTGCATGGGCTGGCACCACTCTCTAAGGCACAATTTCAAAAGTAAAGTGATAGAATACATAAAAAGTCATAAAGGCTGTCTCATAAATTTGATCAGCTAAGCCAGCTTTAGCCTGAGGCTAAAGAGGCACCACTTACTCCTTCCTTGGGCCTGCCCTGCAGGGGTGACATGACTTATCTGACTCGTCACCAGTGGGGAAGGATGAGGGTAAAGATGAAGGTAAGGATGGGTGCTGTCTCCCAAGCTTTCTGTTCAAGGTCACTGGTCTCCACTCTGAGGAAGAGGGCTGGAAAAGGAGCCTCAAGCCCTGGAGTAAAGGTGGGACAAACAACCAGAAGCAAAGATTGCTGCCTTCATGTTCCACCACCACATCCTTTAGCAAGGCATGACCCACGGCATACTAAAAGCAAATGGGCTGGCTGCTCTTCCCAACCAGACCTCTTCAGACCAGAGGAAAAAAAAAATGTCTTTCTGTTTAAGGCTAATCTCTTCCTGTGCATTCTAGATCAAATCCTTTCTTCTATCTTTAGAGATGCAAGCCCACCAATTATGTTTTCTCTCCCTTATTTTTTATCTGTCTTCCATCTAGTCATCTGGATTGTCTAATCCTCCTTTTCTACCTCAACAATATTCAAACCATGTCAGATCCTGTCAATTCTGCCTCCTACATTTCCCTCCAATGTGTTACCTCTTTTCCATTTCCACTGCCAGTCTTAGTAAGACGCTTATTTTTTTTTTTTTCCTTACCTAGGCTACAATAACTCCTTACCAATTCTTTGTAGTACAATGTTTGTCATCTTTCAGTCCCTAGGTTAGACAATCAGGGCTATTAATTTTTTAAGGTCCTGAAGATAAAATGGCAGGCGGGATTCCATTCTGAGAAGGGAAAGGATATGTTGGTGGACTATTAACTTTGTGGTAGGTAAAAAAAAAATGACAGGAGTAGACCAAATGAGAGGAATCATTGTGACAAGGGAAGGGAGAAAAAGGAAATAGTGCTCCTAAGCAAGACAAAGCTGGGACTGAAACACTGAATAATCAACAGTCTTCCCAGGTATCAGTGGCACTAAGGAGTCACTCCAAGGCTGTGCTCCTGCTTACAGTGGAGAGAGCAGACTCGATATTCTAAAGGCCAACCAAAGAGGAAGGTCACAAGATCAATCGTTTCCTGTTTCTATCAGACAAATGTCAACCTCCTTAGAACTACATACATGCCATCACGTGGCCTTCCACTTCTTTCCAGAGCCCCTCTCTGCTGTATCTAACTTTACTTTGAAGTGGAAAAGCAGGAAGAGGCACACTAGATTACCTGGAGTCATTCAACACATCATACTTGAGTCTAGCACAGTCCTTTCTATCATAAGCCCTAACTTATTGAGTTCTCCCATCCATTTTGGAGCTTTCAGTTTTAAGACAATAGCCTCTTTCTGAAGCATGAGGATGAGTTAGAATTCTTCTCCTCTGAGATCTCACAGCATCTTTCACATCCCTCTACTATAGCTATTAAGTCTGTCTCCCAAGTTGGCTGTAAGATTCTGAAGGATAGGTGCCACACTCAACTCATCTTTGTTGTTTGACGCAGAGTCTCACTCTGTTGCCCAAGCTGGAGTGCAGTGGCAAGATCTCAGCTCACCACAACCCCCACCTCCTGGGTTCAAGAGATTCTCCTGCCTCAGCCTCCTGAGTAGCTGGGATTACAGGCATCAACATGACCAGCTAATTTTTTGTATTTTTAGTAGAGATGAGGTTTCACTATGTTGGCCAGGCTGGTCTCAAACTCCTGACCTCAGGTGATCCTCCCCACTCAGCCTCCCAAAGTACTGGGATTACAGGTGTGAGCCACCACGCCTGGCTTCAACTCATCTTTAAATCCCCAGCAGCTACCACAATTGACTTGGAATCTGAAAGATAAATATAAATTCATATTCAATTTAAATGAATAAATAACACAACTAAAAGAAAACTTAAAGACAGTCAAGCCTAAGACCCTCAGTTTACAGATGAAAAAACCAAAGTTCATAAGGGTGAAGTGATTTACCCAATGTCACAGAGGAAGGGCAGGGTTAACTAACACTCCCGCCTTTCAGCAGACCTAAGGACAATGTGTGGTACACAGAAAACACACAGTGATTGGAATTAAGTCCTTTCTTTAAATTAAAAAAGTTGTTGTGTAACACACACCAGAATCTCAAAATTTACTAAACTGGCAATCCCCAGTTGCAGCAGCAGTGAATAATTAACCATTAGGGAGCAGGCAGAAGTGAAGGAAGGAAAATGTATTGATTCTACTCAGGTTAGTCTCCCTTCAAGTCCTCAATTACTTTTCAGGGCACAGAGAAGCCATGCTCTCAGTACCTCAAGACAGCTTACTGTCCTCTAAACAGATTTTTCTAAGAGCTCGTGTGTGAGGGCTGTATTTGCCAAGCAAAAAGATGGCCTTTGCTGGTAGTGTTAAAAAACATTTTCTTTTCCTTAAAACGCAGTCTGATATTTTATTCAAACAATTTCCGGTGTGATGCCCTGTTTAGTTAATGGAGAAAGAACAGCCTGAAGTTAGAAAACATGGGGTTTATTTCTGGCCTGCTGCTCTCTGCAACAAAGGACAAGGCACTTTCCTTCGGCTCTCTCAGAGTTAGCCGAGTTAAGAGCTCTCCACCAGAAAACGCCAGGACAGGGCAAAGAGGGGGCCGACCATCTCAAACACCGTGGGATTCTAAGTGGAGGCTGACCATCTCGAATACCCTGGGAGCCTAAGGGTTAATTTTGAGGTAACCTCCTACAGATGGTTTTACAGAGACAAATGAGAACTCTCTTTAAAAAAGTATGACTTGGTAATTTAAAATTTATTGGGACAGTTAAATATGTAGACATGCTAGTGAAAGAGAACAAATCAACCTGAGTATAAAGGATGAATTTTACCTACCCTAGAGACACTTATGTCAAGTGTATAGACAGTATTTCACAATAAACCTTTGGATGTACAAAGATCAAAAGAATAAAAAAGGAGTGAAACTCTCCTTTCACTAGGTCTGGAAGAGAGAAGCTTAGTTCTTAAAAAAAACACCAGAGACTTCTGATGCATAGCCTGGTTGAGAAGCATTTCTAGAGTGATTTTGTAACCACTGTGCTGCCATTTAACGAATTTCCTCGTTTTTGACTCTTTCATAGTTAACAAATTATCACTATTAATATGCATATTTTTTGTGTACAGGTAATATAATATGCTAATCAAAATGGTAAGCTCCTTGAAGAAAAGCACCGTGGTTTATCATTCTGTTTTGCTGAGACCACTTAGCACTGGGATGAGTATGGAATAGCTTGGAATGACTTTCAATGTGAGTGAAATGTCTGGCAGGAAAAGGTAGGCTTCCAGATGCTCCGCAGGAGGGCACAGCCCACTGCTCTGAGGAGTGGAATAAATTCTTGGGTAGGATGGGCCAGTGAAAACTATCTGTGCAGACCCTGGTGACATCATCTGCTAGCTACATGTCCTTAGTATCTTAATGTCCCTATATCCATAGCTATAAAATACCGTACTGGGGGCCTGACAATAAAGAAAACAACACATGGCACAGGGACATTTCAGAGAGATGGCATTTTAGGAGAAATGGAGCGCCAACTCACCCGGACCTTGGTCATTTCTTACTCCCAGTGGGGATGGATTCCTGGAAAGGCAGAGTTAGGGAAAGAGAAAAAGCCATGAAAATCAAGTCCAGCAAGACTGCAGGGAAAAAGTTACCCAGCTCCTGCCTCTGACGCTTCTTCAGTCAACCCTTCCACTAGCACTCCCTCCATGAGGTGAGAGGTGACGCATTTTCTGTCACCATCTTCATCTCTCTCCACAGGGCTTTCGATTAAACAAGCCAAGTCTTCCCCCCAAAAAACCAAGAAGCTAAGTAAATTCCGCAGCCGCCGGCAGCTCTAAGCCGTGCCCATTTCCTCAGACTTTGCCGATCTCTGTCCTAAAGTTCTAGTTAAGAGGAGGAGATCTCGGGTTATATGACCGCTTCTCGGGATGGGTTTCGGTTGCCCAAGACGCCTTCCCCGACCTCATTCTCAGGAGCCTGGCTCGCTCCTGCGGTGCGGGGGCTCAGATGCAAGCTCTTTTCAGCGAAGGCAGTGCCGCGGACAGAAACCTCAGTCTCTTACAGGAGCCCCCCTCCGTCGCCTAACGTCCACCGAAAACCCCCTGCAATCACGCCGGTCACAGGCGAGGAAAAGGCCGGCGTGGCCAACCACGAAGCCCCCAGCCGGCCCAGGCCAGAGCTCGGCCAGGCGGGAGGAGGGGCCATCGGAGGCTCGGCCGCTCAGCTGCACGGCCCGACAGCCTTCGCTGTGGCCGCAGCCAGGCTCCCGGGGTGCAGCAGCTTGGAAATGCGGCGCCGGGACACACGTGCCGCTGCGGGCCGCGCCTCCGCTGGTCGCGTGCCCTACCATCGCCGCCCTCCCGGCTTCCGCGGCTCGCCGGCCCAGCGCCTTCGCCGCGGCACACCCATTTCCTGACCCCTGAACGCCTCTATCAGCGGCCGGGGAAGCCCGGCCAGTCTCACCTCCCACGTGGAACCCCACACCTGCAGGGGCCGCATTCCGGATGCTGCCGGCTAGCGCGCCTAGAGCCCCGAAATACAAGTCCCAGCAAGCCGCGGGCGAGCCACGCCCACTTCCGGCGCGGGCCGCGGAGCTCTTGGCCGGGGGTGGGGGCCGGCGGGGTGACCATCTTTGAGTCAGCGATGCGTGTATTCAAGTCCTCGTCCTCGTTTTTTATTACAAACTCATAAGAATTATTTTGGGAATACCTATTAAGGTGTTTTTCATTTGTTAAAATACTATTGGGGGAAAAGGACGTAAATACCCATAATTTTATCTTTACCTTTCAAAACATTCTGAAGTGAATATTTGCTATTCGGCATCTTCCATCTCACCTCTGAAGGTCATCCATTTAACAGATATTATTTGAGAGCCAGCTGTGTACCAGGAGCTGTTCAAGATGCTTGCACAAAAGTCACTGCCCTATTCTAGTGGGGGAAACAAGCAATCCATAAATACAGTGAATATATGGCGTCGTGTGTGTCATGAGGTGGTACGGAAAGCATAGAGCTGGGCGGGGGGTTGCGAGGTGTGAGTGTGTAGGGCTGGGGGTGTACTTTGCAATTTTAGATAGGAGATCTTGGAACAAACACAGGAGGTGAAGGAATTAGACAAGTGGCTCCCAGCAGTCAGAACTGTCCTAAACGCACACAAGGGTTGTTTATGCCAGGATTTTACATTTCTTTCACTTCTCACCGAGTGACACAGAGCTACCCGTTTGGTCTTTTCCCAATTCCTTTCTTTCAGATTTATTTTGGAGAGAAAAGAGATGTTGCCTGGACCTCTCTTCTATATCCTCCCCCTTCCTTGGTGTATTAGTTTCCAATTGCTGTCACAACAACTTACCACAAACTTAGTAGTATAACAAACATATATTCTCTTAAACTTCTGGAGGTGCCAAGTCTGAAATCAGTTTTACTGGGCTAACGTCAGTGTCGGTGTGGCTAGTTCCTCCTGGAGGTTCTAGATGAGAATATTTCTTTGCCTTTTCCGGCTCCCAGGGACTGTTTGCATTCCTTGGCTTATGGCCCGCTCCTTTATCTTCAAAGAGCATGACTGCAATCTCTGCCTTCATCATCACATCACATGCTGGGGCACTGACTCCTCGTGGGGCCTTCTAATAACGACTGCTGTGATTACATCAGGCCCAGCTGACTAATCTTGGGATAATCTCTCAACGTTAAGATCCTTAATTTAATCACATTTCAAAAAATCCCTCTTGCCATAGAAATTAACATCCACAGCTTCTGGGGGTTAGGACATGGACATATTTGGGGGACTATTATTTTCGGACTTCGATGCTTGGAGAGGCCCATGTCCCCTTCAGTCTCCTCTTCAGAGATGCTCTCTTACCTTTTGCCTGGGGAACACAAAATGTCTCCCTTGGACCTTACTCCTCTCCTCAATGGAAAACCACAGAGCTTTTCCCTATTTAGATTCTACCACCCTTGCCCTGACCTTCACTTCCTCATGTGCACACTCCCCTCCTCGTGCAATATAAGAGGCCATGGGCCATGGTTATGGCCAGTCCTGTGTATGTGCGGTTACCCTTAACTCTCTTGCCCCAGTCTTTCTTGGTTTTATTCTCTTGATAGAAACCCAAATCTGCTTGAATCCAGTTCCTGGCCTGCACCTGCATGGCAGAGATTGTTTGAGAAAACCACGTGGCTGGGATGATTGGTCTCATTTTCAGTTTATAGCCATTAAGTTCAAGTGAGCCCTTCATGCTGCCTGGCTATCCTTCTACATTTCTTAGTCCATTCATTCTCCTAAATGACTGTTTCACAGCTTCTACTTTCTTTTCATTATTTATTTATTTTTTTGAGCCAGGCTGGAGTTCAGTAGCACGATCTTGGCTCACTGCAATCTCTGTTTCTTGGGCACAAGCGACCCCCCAACCTCAGCCTCCTAAGTAGCTGGTACTATAGTCTTGCACCACCACGCCCAGCTAATTTTTGTGGGGTTTTTTTGTTTTTTTTTTTTTAAGAGATGAGGTTTCACTATGTTGTCCAGGCTGGTCTCTACCTCCTGAGATCAAGTGATCCGCCCACCTCAGCCTCCCAAAGTGCTGGGATTACAGGCTGAGCCACCATGCCTGGCCTTCTACTCTCTTTTCAAGCCTCCAACAACTCCTCCCGTCTCACTGAGTGCTGATGACTTTGCTTTTTGTTACTGAGTAAAGAGAACCTTTGTACCGCCTCACAGGTATGTCTGCCCTCCTTTCTGCATTATAATCTGTATGCTCTACTTTTCTTTCTGAGTGACTGGCCCTAGTTCCTATATGAGAAAATTCTTTTGCACCCTGGATGTTAACTGCCTTCTTGTGAATGAGGGCCTTCTCTCTCTTCTGTATTTCAAGATTTTCATTCTGTACTGAATTATCAGCATACTAATGAATACACTATAATATTGTCCATAAAATAAATAAAACCCCTTACCTTGCACCCTATTTCTCTCCAGCCACTACCTTATTTCTCTGCTTTGCTTTACAGCAAAACTCCTAAAAAAATTGTCCCTAAGGGATGTTTCCAATTTCTTTTCTCCCATATTCTCTCTTTTTTTACATGCAAAACCCAACATTTAATTTCTTAACTTAATTTAAAAAATTGATATATAATAGATGCATGTATTTTGGGGGTACATATGATAATTTGATTAATATTATGTGTAAAGATCAAAGCAGGGAAATTGGGATATCTATCACTATAGTATTTATCTTTTCTGTATGCCAGAAATATTGAAAAGATTCTCTTCTGGCTATTGGAAACATACAGTAGGTTAATGTTAACCATAGCTAACCTACTGGTCTATTGAACACCAGGTCTTATTTTTTCTATCTAACTGTGTATTATACCTTGATATGGTTTGTCTCTGTTTCCCCATTCAAATCTCATCTCGAATTGTAATCCTCACGTGTTGAGGGAGGGACCTGTAATTCCCACAAGTGGAGGGAGGGAGGTGATTGGATCAACAGGGGCAGTTTCCCCCATGGTGTTCTCATTATAGCGAGCGAGTCCTCACAAGATCTGATGGTTTTGTAAGTGTTTGGAAGTTCCTTTGTTCTTCTCTCTCCTGCCACCTTGTGAAGAAGGTGACTGCTCCTTCTTCCAACATGATTGTAAGTTTCCTGAGGCCTCCCCAGCCATGTGGAAGTGTGAGTCAATTAAACTTCTTTTCTTCATAAATTACCCAGTCTCAGGCTTTTTTTTTTTTCATAGCAGTGTGGGAAAAAAAAAAAAAAAAAAAAACTAATACATACCCCTTAACCAACCTCTATTCAGACCCCCACCTCTACTCTTACTGAACTCTGGTTACCACCAATCTACTCGCTATCTTCATGAAATCCACTTCTTTTTTTTTTTTTTTTTTTTTTAGTTCCCACATATGAGTGAGAATATGCAATATTTGTCTTTTTGTGCTTGACTTATTTACTTAACATCATGGCCTCTAGTTCCATCCATATTCCTGCAACTGACAGGATTTCATTTTTTTTTATGACTGAATAATATTCCGTTATGTACATACACCACATTTCTTTATCCATTCATCCATTGATGGCCACTTAGGTTGATTCCATATTTTGGATATTGTAAATATTGTTGCAGTAAACATGGGAGTGCAGATAGCTCTTCAGTATATTGATTCCCTTTCTTTTGGATATATACCCAGTAGTGGAATTGCTGAATCATATGATAGTTCTGTTTTTAGTTTTCTGAGGAGCTTCCATACTGTTCTCCATAGTGGTTGTACTAATTTACATTCTCATCAACAGTGTACAAGGATTCCCCTTTCTCCAAATTCTCACCAGCATCTGTTATTCCCTGTTTTTAGATAAAAGTCATTTTAACTGTGGTGAGATGATAGCTCATTGTGCTTTTGATTTGCATTTTTCTCATGATCAGTGATGTTTAGCATTCGTTTATATACCTGTTAGCAATTGTATGTCTTCTTTTGAGAAATGTCTATTCGGATCTCTTTTGTCCATTTTTAAACTGGATTATTTGTGTTTTTACATAGAGTTGTTGGAGGTCCTCGTATATTCTTGTTATTAGTCCCTTGTCAGGTGGATAGGTTGCGGTATTTTCTCCTATTCTGTGGGTTGTCTGTTCACTTTGTTGGTTGTTTCCTTTGCTGTGCAGAAGCTTTTTAGTTTGATGTAATTCCATTTGTCTGTTTTTGCCTTTGTTGCCTATGCTTTTGAGGTCTTACACAAAAAAATTTTTGCCCAGACCAGTGTCCTGGAGTGTTTCCTCAATGTTTTCTTCTAGTAGATTCATAGTTTCAGGATTTAGATTTAAGTCTTTAATCCATTTTTATTTGATTTTTGTTTATGGTGAGAGATAGGGGTCTAGTTTCATTCTTCTGCATATGGTTACTCAGTTTCCCAGCATCATTTATTGAAAAGACTGTCCCTTTCTCCAACGTATGTTCTTGGTTCCTTTGTTGAAAATAAGTTGGCTGTAAGTACATGGATTTGTATCTGGGTTCTCTATTCTGTTCCATTTGACTGTCTGTTTTATGCCAGTACCATACTGATTTGGTTACTATAGCTTCGTACTGTATTTTGAAATCAGGTATTATGCTATCTTCAGCTTTGTTCTTTTTGCTCAGGATTGCATTGGCTATTTGGGGTCTTTTGTGGTTCCATGTGAATTTTAGGATTTTTTTTTCCTATTTCTCTGAAGAATTTTTTTTTTGTGAAGAATGTTATTGGTATTTTGATAGGAATTGCATTGAATGTATAAATTGCTTTGAGTAGTATTGTCATTTTTTTTTTTTTTTTGAGACAGAGTCTTGCTTTGTTGCCCAAGCTGGAGTGCAGTGGTGTGATCTCAGCTCACTGCAACTTCTGCCTCCTGGGTTCAAGTGATTCTCCTGCCTCAGCCTCCTGAGTAGCAGGGGCTAGAGGTGCCCGCTGCCACACCTGG